AACCCAAGCCAATCCACTGCTGTCGAGTCACTTCTGGTACCTGGTGACTCCGTGTGTGTCAGGGAAGAGCTGGGCCTCGCAGGGTTTTCAGCGGCGGTGGTCCTGCAGAAGGAGGTCACCAGTCCTTTCTTCCTCCGCACCTCTGAGAGGGTCTGACCCACCAGCTCCCACCAGCTTTTCAATAGGTAGCCAGGCAGAACATATTTACACCATCCAAGGACTCCCAAAGTCTGGAGAATGAAGGTTAAAAATAAAGGTGAGGCAAAGATAAGAGATAGCGGAATAAAAGAAATTATAATATCCTTGAGTAAAGACATCATGTGTGGAGGGTCAGCGAACAAGAGGAAAACCTGCAACAAGAGGAATCGACACCGTGACTATTCCCGTGGCTCATGTCAATCAGAGGTGATGAGGCTGGCACAGGCGAGGGTGGAGTTCACATCGGTTGTTTGTGGGGTTGCTGTAGGAGCAGTGAGTACTTGACTTGATGGTGTCTAAGAAGAACAGGAGCAACAGTCCCCCACAGCTCTTCAGGTCGGAGCAGACCTCAGGAGCAGGGCTGTCCTTGGCCTTGTGGCCACTTTAGTTTCTGAATACACAGATACCTGCTAACCGCCAGGGTGAATGGATCGACCTCGCTGCTGTGCAGAAAGGCAGGGCCGCATCCCTGGTCCTGTTGCCGGTCACTTTTCCTGCAGCCGTGGCTTCCGGTGCAGCCAATCCCCCTCCGCAGGCATAAATCCTTTTTCCCATAAGAGGCTATTGGCTGTGTGTGACGTTTCTGGGACTGAAGGAGTAGCTGGCTATAGCGGCTTCAAGGCAAGTCAGTTACCTTGGCCATTTGGTCTACGTAGCAGATGGCCAGGACTTGATAGATTGAGGATTATTCACATCCAAGTCAAGGGCCAAATGGTGCAGTGACCAGGAGAAGTCAGAGGCCTCTCTGAATGCGAGCCCATGGAGCCAGATGGGGCCTCCTGCCTCCATTTGATTTTGCTTCCAGGAGGCTTAAATGCAGAGCCTGGATTAAAGACTCGCCTCTAGAGATGATTAATAACTTGGCTGCTAATTTGATAGTTGGTTGAGTCTCTTATGGCAGGCTACTGTTTGAAAAGAGTATTCGTCAAGTTTAGGCTCCATGACCATTTATGTAAATTTGGTCCAGTTCAAACCCAAGAGCCATAGAGTTTGCTGCATTGCTAATTCCTCTATCTTCGTTATACTTAAATGCAACGGCAAAGCTTTTCTTCGGAGCCCTCTCTTGTGGCGTGTGCTTTCCTTTTGAAGATGACTAATATGCAGAGCAAGCCGCCCCGAAATGGAAGTGCCAGGAGCCACGTTTCGCTATGAGAACGCTGACTCCAGAGGGCAAGGGGTGTCCATTTCTTCTAGTCCATTTTAAGCTCATTTGTGAGACTGCGGTCTTCTCCGCATTGCTGTGTAATTCCTTTGATCTAAAAGTGGAAGGAAGCAAATTTCAAGAGCCAAGAAAACTCATGTGGCTTCAAAAGGAGCAGCCTATTACAAAATCGAGTGGATGTCAAATCAAACATAAATCCGGATCGTTTGAAATTCCAACTCAAATAGCCTATTACATGTTGATATGAAATAGTTATGATAGTTTCACTTAACTAGCAAAATAAAGCCGCTATTATAGTGTAGATGACTAGTAAAAAAAAATGTCTGCCTTGAGCCTTATGCTGATTTAAAGAGTCATCTGTATTAGGGTCAAATGTCAAAGGCAACTCGCAAGGTTAAATGGAACCTTAGGGAAGACTGAATTTATGGAAATGGTGGGGAAACACCTTAAAAAGGAAAGTAAGGATGGCTGCATAAAGAATGTAGTCAGTTACCAAGGAATGTGTGCAAAAACTGTTGAAATTATGCATATTTTCTATGTATATTCTTTTTTAAAAATGTGTGTGTGTGTGTGTGTGTGTGTGTGTGTGTGTCGTCAAATCAGATCTGACTGGTACAGGAGGAGATTGTCCCTCCTTCTCCAGCAGAGCATCTGGTGGATTCGAGCCACATACCTCTTGGATTGCAGTGCAGCTTCTAGCCAATAGGCTACCAGAGCTCCCTCTGTTTATATTCTTAACAAGCACAAAATAAATCAACTTTTAAAAGAAAATTCTACGGGGCATAGTTTTGCTCTGACCACATCAAATCTCCATGAGGAGACATTGATTCAGTGTCAGCTGGAAAGTGGTCTGCCACCTCCTGCCATGGAGAGCTAGTTCCTGGAGGACGCAGTTACGCCTTCAACTACCAGCCAAAACGTCGGGGGTTCAAACCCAAGTCTGGCGATACAGGAAAGATCACAGCCTTGACAATCAGGTAGACACTGCACTCATGAGTCACAGCTGTCTCACTGACTGGCTCCACCTGTCTAGTTGTTGGCAGGATGTTGTGTCTAGAGTGACCCTGTCTGCGACTGCTTGTCGCAGACAATGCTCTCTGAGGCATCTTTCCTCATCCAGTAGACTCGGTTGAGTATCTTTACTGTGGCCGCAAGTTCCCCAGCAAGAAGAAAGTCACTCGGTATCCAAACAGAAGGTCACTCAGTATCCAAACAAGTCATGTCCCTGACATCTCATCAGTCAAAGCAAGTCACGTGGCCAAGCGAAGTTTTGAAAGGTGGGAGAGTTGATGGAAAGTGATGGGCAGCTCTCAGATTCTAAAGGAGCATGTGACTGGTGGGAGGAGTTTGTCATCGCCTACAAATATTAAAGTAACTGGATTTAACCTGGAGGGAACATTCTGGACTGACAAGCAGAGAGCCCTTCCAGGGCTCTAGGATCTTTCTGTAGATTCTTATTCTAGCACCTTTGCTATTTGGCTGTGTGTATTTTGTAGGTTTTCTCATCTTGAATTCTTCTATTATTATAACCTTTTTAAAAACATTGACTTTCATTTTTGTAAGTTATTTTATGTGATACAGGTATTCTTTTAATTTGAGTGAAATAGAGAGCTGATGTGTGTTGTGGATGTTCAGCCTTTAAGAACATTCACTCTTAGCTAAAGTTTGGCTTGGCCTGCCTCCTCAAACTCTTTGGAAATATGCTCCTGCCTCCTCCAGATTTACGTACACCTCTGTGAACTGATACCCTGGCTTCCTAATCATGGATGTATATGTGAGTGGGGTGTATGCGTGTGTGTATTATGTCTATAGTGTTTATAATGCACCAAATTCCACACCATCTTATTAGTCTATAAATATAGCATGGTATGTGTATCTTCTGAATTTAGTCTTAGCCCAGGACTCTGAGCATCAAATTGTAATCACAACTAACTCATGTAGCTTCTCCCTAGAATTTCTCAGTCTCAGCTCTTGGCATTGTGGACACTCTGAGTCAGATAGTTCTTTGTTATGGGAACATGCCCTGACCATTGTACAGTTGTGGCAGCTTCCCTCACATCTACTTCCTTGGTGCTGATAGCAATTTCTCTCAACCCTCTATGCCATGTCAGCCAAAAATATCTCTAGATGTGGTGATGTGTATCCTGTAAGGAAGGGGCCGAGTCACCCCTGATTGATGGCATTAGTCTCACATACTTTGGGCAGGTTTTCAGAGGCAACAGTCCTTAGAAAAAGACGTAGGACCAGGAAAGGTGGAGGGAGGTTCGGAGAAAGAGAGGAAGACCTTCAGCAAGGTGGATTGACACCGTGACTGTAGCAATGATCTCAAGTGTGTCAGAGACTGTGAGGATGGCACAGGAGAGGGTACGTTCAGGTCTGTTGTTCATTGAGTTGCAATGAGTTGTCACCACCTTGCACATAACAACAACCTGGAGACAGAAGGGAGGAGAAAATGTGTGAGATTTGGATTGTTGTCAGAGAGAGGACCCTAGGAGCTGCATCCCAACAGGAAGAATTTGTGAGGGAGGAAGAGGTGTGGAAAAATTGTAATCCTCTTAAAATTTACCCTCGGGAGGGCCCTATATTCCTCAGAATTAACTTGGAAACTTCAAGTCTTGCTAGGGAAAGGTTTCTCAGTTTCCCACTTGAATTATGGTAGAGATGTAAATACCATCCCTGGGTAAGAGCGGGGGGGGGGGAATATCCGGTGCTAATGCTGATCACAGATAGTGAATTTTTAAAATCTCTTTATTTAGAGGGAAAAGTCAAGTAGGCAGAAAAATACAGAAAATCGTGTTGTAACCCATAATATACTCATTACACGGCCAGTCTTGATGTATCTACCTCCTATTCACATTCTGCAGGTGCATTTCATTTCATTTGTAAATCATGCCATATTTGTCCAAAAGAAAGTACTTGGAAACCCTAATTACAAAGGAAATGGTGCCTTTTTAATCCTCTAGAAGAGATGAGAATGAAGATTTAATTGTATCAGAAAGTTCAGGGCAAGACTAGATGGGATCAAGATAAAAAAAGCCCAAAGCTTGGAAGCAGTAAAACCTCAAAAGAGAATGAGGCTGGGAGACCCTGTATCTGAGACCTCCCTCTCCCAGACCTCCCTCCTTTCTCTCTACCAGAATCTCTCTGTGGTCTTTGGAAAGAGAGAGGGGACCAGGATCCTTAAAAAGGAGCATAGGCTGGCAGAGCACAGATCCGTGTTCTTTCGAGAAGGAGGGAGCACGGCCACATGAAGTATTTGGCATGTTTGGTTAGTGATGGATTGCTCTCTGATGGCTTCCAATGGCTCTTTAGCCGATCGAAGCCTCCTTTTAATAAGACAAAGCAGAGGGATTCCTTGTGGCTGGTTTGTAAAGGTTTTGCTGGGATGATGGTGTTTCTCTTGCTGTAATATATTCTGAGAAGTTGGGGTGGGTTTTTTTTTCCTTTTGATTTAGACCTCCTCACTTGATTTTATGATGTCATAAATCTCCCTGCACTTGGTGAGAGCCATGGTATATGTGAGACCTAAACAGCTTGCTAGATAACATCTATTTCCCCCCTTCTCTTTAGAAGATTAAACTGAGACTGTTGTGTCTGATGCCAGAATAGATTTAACCAATCATGTTTCCTTTACATGTAGGTCAGTCCGAGGGACAATTCCGCTCTGGATCCTATTATCCATGGGTTGAAGGGCGTCGTCCATCATGGTAAGTAAACCCCAGATGCTTCCTTTTGCTGGAGATGGGAAGGCTGAGGCTCTCGACCAATAGGAATGGGGTTTTCCTGAGGAGGACAGAGGCCACCACCCATTCCTCATCCACTGATGTTTAAGGGCATTTGAGCCATTATTTGATGGGTAAAGAGCAGGCCCATTTGTTATCTGCAGATGGATCCAGGTTAACAGTAAGCATTTTGTGCCTTCTCAGATACTAAGAATGCATGTGTGATAAATCAAAACACCCATGATGCACCATTCATATGTGCAGTGGATGCCTGGAAGTCGCCATTTGTCTTATGTCCCCCTAAAAGTACTCCTCTTGCAAGTTTCTTTCCATTTATAAATTTCTTGATTTGCCTCTTAGATTTAGGAAGCAGTGGAGAGGGAGAAACTTAAGTAGCCATGATGGTTCATTAAGCTTTGCAGCAGGTGAGGAGGCCCATCAGCTGCTGGTGTGGAAAAGGCTGCATGGTGAGCCTCTTATCCTCGGGTGCAAAACTGGGAAAGAAAGTGAGATAAATGGGTTCTGTCTTTTCCAACTGGTTTTTATTGGAAGAATTTCCCCACAACTTTATTAGCAACAATGCATCATTACCTATGACAACAGGGGCTTCTCATTTCAAGAGCACCTTTTCCCACCATGAGCTGTGGTGTCTGAGCGTAATGTAATGATTTGCAGAGCTTTAATAATCTAATTAGAATTCTGACGACGTTGACAGAAACAGCGTTAGGAACCATCATAAATCTCCGCTTTGTCTCCACAGCTGTGATAAAATGCCATCACACCTTTCTCGGGAGGAGGATTGTCTTTAGACATTAGCCAACTCTAGAGCTTCACATGCCTCTTCCCCCATCCCTCCCAGGGAAAGAAGCCATTGTCGGTGTGCGAGAGAAGCAAATGGGATTCTGGATTAATTATTCTGCTCTCACAGTTCTTTGCTAGTGCAGCAGGTAACAATAATAAAGCCAGGGAATGTAGGCAAAAAGGGTAACAAATAACAGCCTGCACCGGCTTGCGTTTCAGGAAGTTTCCATCGTGTTTTGTCCATTTTCAATGTTAGCATGTTTCCGGGAAGTGAAGCCTTCATACTGAGCTAGAAAATAGATTGCATTTAACAAAAGTAGGTGTTATTATAAGGGTTCCCCTGGAGAACAAAACACCTTTGCCTGAAATGATTTTGACTGTCTATGTTTTGTGTGGTTTTGGTGGGTTTTTTTAATGCTGTAGTGACAGTTGAGCACAGGATAGAGCAGGGTTTAGGGCTGTTGTACATAGGGTCGCTATGAGTCGTAGGTGACTCGATGGCGTTTAACAACAGTGACAGTTGTATTTAGGAGGTGGGACATTTTATATTTCTATTCCAGACAACCTCCAACAGACAATGCAAGCAGGGGTTGTGGCACCACATCCTGTCCCTTGAGCGGTGCCCCAGAAAATTCTCTTCAACATCCAGATGATTAAACCTCTGTTGGATTTCCAACACACAGTGTCAATTACAAGTGTTGAGGTTTGAAACATAGTAAGTGATAAATAGATCTTATCGACCCCCAACACTGTTGTTGTTGTTGTTGTTGTTATGTGCCATCGAGTCATTTGCGACTCATAGTGACCCTATGTACAAGAGCTCTAAACGCTGTTCTATCCTGTGCCAACCTAGCCATCTCAAATGCACTTATTCCCACCGCTCCAGTCACAGAATCAATCCAGCTCATCAAAGGTCTTCCTCTCGTTCGCCGCCCCTCCACTCTGCCAAACATAATGTCTGTCTCCAAGGACCAGTCCCTCCTTGCAACATGCCCGAAGTATGTCAGACAAAGCTTCAGAATCCTTGACTCCAGGGACCATTCTGGCTTCACCTTCTCCAAGACAAAACTGTTTGTTCTCCTAGCAGTCAATGGTATATTCAACACTCTTCTCCAGCACCAAAGCTCAAAGGCATCAATTCTCTTTCTATCAACCCTATTCACTGTCCAACTCTCCAATGCATAGCACGTAATTGCAAAGACTGTAGCCCGGATCAGGCGCACCTTAGTCTCCAGCCTGACATTGTTGCTCTTCAGCACTCTTGAGAGGTCTGTCACAGCCGACTTTCCCAGTGAAATTCGTCTCTTGATTTCCTGGCTGCTATTACCAAGAGTGTTGATTGTGGAGCCAAGTAAATGAAAACTATTAACTATCTCAATCTCTTCACCATCCATGCTGATGCTGCCAATTGGCCCAGTGGTGAGAATCTTTGTTTTCTTGATGTTGAGCTTCAATCCATATAGGAGGCTGGAGTCCTTGACCTTCTGCAGCAAGGGCTTAAGGTCCTCCTCAGTTTCAGCAAGCAGGGTTGTGTCATCTGCATAACGCAGGTTGTTGATGACTCTTCCACCAATCCTGATGCCACATTCCTCCTTGAACAGCCCAGCGTCTCAGATGATTTGTTCTGTATACAGATTGAAAAGGTATGGAGACAGAATACATCCCTGACGGGCCCCTTTCTTGATTTTGAACCATGTAGTGTCTCCTTGCTCTGTTCTGATGACTGCCTCTTGCTCCAAGTATAGGTTTCGCATTAGCACAATCAAATGTTCTGGGATTCCCATTCTCCAACTCTAGGTCTCTTTTATAAAATATGTTGCCTTTTAAAAGTAAACACACTGTAGATGAGAGAGAGAACTGCTTAAAAGGGATATGTGATTAGGTATTATTGTCATGACAGGAGTACAGAACGAAGGCTGCATAGTGGAGTGGACTTGGGGGGAGGGGTTGTATAACAATGAAAGAATTTTTCTTTTACTTTTCCAAGAGAAGAATAAACTGGAGGGGAGGAGTGGGCAGGGAGAATAGTGCAACAATGAATGAATGGAAATCCAAAATCTCTGTAAATTTTCATTAAAGTGAATAATAATTAAAAATGTAAACACACTGTAGAATTCTAGACTCTTCCAAGAGGATCCTATTTTCGGAGAAGAGGATACTCTCTGGCTGCACTGGAGACGTTTCCATATGTATGGTAGGATAAGCAGGAGCCTTTCTTGATCTCTGAAGCCTCAAATTTAAAGAGATTCACTACATTGTTATCACTTAGACCATGACCTATGTAATGGCATAATTGTGTATACTTTCCTTTTCTTCATGGCCCCTTTAAGAAGTTGTCTCATAGAGATACTTGACCAGTTTTAATCCTGTTGTTTAACTTGGGAACCCAACAAGACCTGCAAAAACAAAATTATCTACAGAAGACGTTTATTTACATTTATTGAGCAAAACTGTGCATGTGTCTGAATGCTGTGAGCATTCAGTCTATGCTGAGCAAATAATTTGAGAAGTTGGACTTTTTAAAGAAGAATGTGGCATCCAGATTAGAAGAAGGCTCATGAACAACCTGCATTATGCATGTAATACAAGTTCGCCAGCTGAAAGTGAAGAATACTTGAAACACTTGTTGCAGAAGATCAGAGATCTTCAATATAAATAGCCTTCAATATTGCTTATTTCTCAACATCAAGAAAACAAAAATCCTCCCCACTGGGCCAGTAGATATCATGATAGTTGAAGTAGAGATAGAATTTGTTAACAATTTTTATCTAACTTTGATACACAATAAACCAGAAGTCAAGAAATCAAAAGACATATCACATTGGGGAAATACGCTGTCACGGACTTTTCAAGGGTACCAAAGAGCAGTTTTATCAGATTAAAGACTAAGGTGTGCCTAATCCATGTTTTGATCTTCTCAGTCACTTACTATGTATCTGAAAGCTAGACAGTGACTAAGGATGACACAAGAAAAATCCACACCTTTGAGTTGTGATACGAGAAGAGTACTGAATATTCCATGGATGGCCAAAGAGAGTACAAGTCTGTCTTGGAGGGAGTGAGACCAGGTGCTCCTTAGAGACAAGGATGGTCAACTTTGTCTCAGATACTTTGTGCTTGTTGCTAGGAGAGGCCAGCCAGCCCTTGGAAAAGTGGAGGGTCACAGTGTGAGAGGAAGGCCCTGCGCAAGGCGGAGTGACACTGTACTATAAGAGCAGACTCAAGTGTGTCAGAGATGGTGAGAATGGCACAGAATAGGGCAGCGTTCAGAGCTGTTCTTCATATGGTTGCTCTGAGTCACAGTCAACTCTAGGACACATAACAACCACAACAACATGTGAGCCAGTGAGTGAGTGAGTGTGTATGTGTTGTGACCACAGGCATAGGCTAGCCCCAGTAGCCTATTGTCTCTACTGGCAGGAAAGTTCTTCACCCAGCCCTCAGCAAAGGTGTCTCCTTAGCATTCTTTCAGGGCTCATCTCAATTCAAGTTTGCCTCCATAGATAGGGATGAGACAGGGTTAGGGCCATGTCTTTGGAAACTTAGTGTTTGCACTCACTGCTTGGCTTTTCACTGCCTTCCATTCTGCTAAATCTCTGCACTTTCATCATTCTTCCTAAAGAGAACAGATATTTGAAATAGAGGAAAAGAGAAAGAAAAAGCTTTGAACTAGAAGCATTTTTAGGTGAAAGACCTGTAAAGGATTTGAATGACCTGCAAATTCAATGGAACATAAATAATTGTGCCCTTGACAGTGTCAACAGCTTGAAAATGATGATAGAGATGTGTGGAGGGAAAATCAATACAGATTTCAGTTCAAGTTCAGAATTGGCTTTTATTTCTGTGACTCTGGGATTTACATCTTAGAATATTAATTTCTTATTAGGTGATTTTAAAAAGATATATATGGTTGGAGTTTTCATTTTCTACTGGTTTATTTACAAAATTCAAATACATTGGGGTTTTGTGGGTTTTTTTTTTATTTTTGGTAGTTTTTTCCCCCCAAATACATTGTTTTTAAGAATAAATTCTTTCAGTTTCCCTCACCCCACCCCATCAAATTATACAACCCTGTAATTAACCCCCCATCCCCCCTACACATCCTCATCCCTCTGCTTCTACCCTCTCCCATCCCTCTTGGATCCTTATACCCATTCTACAAAAGAATGAGTGTATGGTTTTAT